GAGTTAAACGTTGTGGACCAGCCATAGTATACACCTTTATCATACAACTTAATATCAAAGCAAAAACAACTTAATATCAAAGCAAAAAACACAGAAATGAACAGCATAATTGCTCTCCCGAAAAAAGTAAACAAGAACTTAACAAAAGAAGAAACGACCAGTTTTTTGACTCGAGTTTATCAGTAAAGAATGCCCATTCAGGGAGTACTTATAAAAATTTAAAAATAAATTTACTGCAGCCAAAATATTTAAAAGCATTGGTGATGCGATAATTTTTGTGCGGTGTGTATTAAACACATTCACAATTGTCAAAACGACATGAGATTTGACTTACTTGAGATGTTCGAGAAAACAAAAGTGCGTTAAGAACCTCGCACAGCGCGTCTGGACCAAATACTTATTCGCTCCGTGCGTGGTTGCAGCGCCAATTCTTTTATGTACTAATGGACTATTTTTGCCTATACTGAGAATATAATTTTTAAAATAATTCGTAATTAAAAAGTATATATGTTAGTTTTAATAAAAGTATATGGATTTGTAAAACAAGGGAAACATTAATTTATTATTATTATATATTTTTATCGCTTAAACTAAAAAAAAAAAAACAGTATAATCAATAAAAATTAATAATAAAATATAAGCAAGCAACAATATTTACGGGAAAATGTATAAGAAGTTGCCTAAGTCTAAGTTGTCTTTAAAGAATTAACCTATTCTGTCAAAATAAAAAAATACCATTAAATAATAGTGTGAAGTTAAAATGTATAAGAAGAATTGTTATTTTTATTTTCATTTATGTTCGAACGAAAACATAGAATAAATGATAAAAACTGATTTCCTATCAGTAAGTCATAAAATTGTATTCCAGCCACATACAATAATTAAAGCTGAAATCTGGAGATTAAAGGTATGTTGAAGAACATCGTAAAATGATCATTTATTGTTTATTTAAAACCTTTCAAGTGTCTACTGCTATTTTCAGTATTACTGTTATTATTACAAAAATAAAGGTAATTTTTCTTCTTATTGTACACCTATCCATTTTTTTCTTTAATTTAATTTCCACTTTGATACTAAAAATTTTTACACTGTTTTTTTGCTGGTATTTTTACAATTTACAACTCAGCAACTCCGGCTTCTTATTGTATTGTTTTTACCTATTTTTTTCAAAAAGTAAAATGTATACGTGTAGTTGATTAAAAATTACAAAATATCGCCCTAAAATGCACGAATTTTCCGCCTAGCGCTAGTATCGCTTTTGCTTCCCCTACCATGACTTCTCACTGAGCGAATAATAGGGTCCAGATGCGCCGTGTGAGGTTTCTAAACACACTCCAGAGCTTCAGTTAACTTGCTTAACGAACAGATACAAACCAAATATCATCTCATTTTCCTTTCTCTGCCCCTTCTAATTCAATTAATCAATTTTTCTCGTCCATAACACATCAGTGAAATATCTCAATTTACAACCAATAATTATTTTTCAGTACGTTTTTATTATCTTGAAATTTCCAACTAAATATAAGAAAACGGGGTCAAATTCCTAAGGCTCAGTTGTACCACTTGAGTTCAGGGGAGGTTCAACTAAACCAGGTTTTGATTGTAACATTTAAATATTAGTATGACGTTTGTTATAGTGAAAACCAAGTTTAGTTAACCTTTTCTGAACTGAGCCTTACAGTCTCCTTACTTATTTTACTTGACCTTGTACTTGTACTCGCCTTAAACCACTGAAGTTATCCCTGAGTTTTAATTTGCAATTAACTTTGTACCTTTTACCCATAACGTTACGTGTTATCATAATAGGTCCTTTTAAGATGAACGTCACAACAATATATATGTAAGTATTAATTTTGATGGTGTTTTACTCGTATTCGTATTTACTCGTAGCGCTAGCTGCGGACAATTCTTGTATTTTTGGGCGATATTTTGTAATTTTGGCATATCAAATACACGTATACATTTTACTTTTTTTAAAAAAAGTAGGTAAAAACAATACAATAAGTAACCAGAGTTGCTGTATTGAAAATTGTACATATAGGTACTAGCAAAAAAAAACGGCGAAACTAATATAAAAAATTTCAATAGCAAAGTGGAAATAACATCAAAGAAATAAATGGATAGGTGTACAATAAGATGAAAAATTACCTTTATTTTTGTAATAATAACAGTAATACTGAAAATAGACATCAGAAACTTGAAAGGTTTTAAATAAACAATAAATTATCATTTTACGATGTTCTTTAATATCTTTTTATTCTTAAATGTGCATTCAGTAAGGACTAGATTTCAAGATTTCTGCCTTTGATTATTATATGTGGCTGGAATGCAATTTTGTGACTTACTGATGGGAAACCAGTTTTAATCATTCATTCTATGTTTTCTTTCGAACAAAAATGAAAATATAACTTACGATCTTTTTTTTATACATTTTAACTTCACGCTGTTATTAAATGGTATTTTTTTATTTTGACAGAATAGGCGAATTCTTCAATGACTACTTATTAAACTTAGACAACTTCTCATACATTTTCCAGTAAATACTGTTTCCTACCTATAGTTTATTATTGATTTTTATTGATTATACATAATTTTATATAATTTAAGCGATACAAATATATAATAATAATAAAAAATTAATGTTTTACTTGTTTTACAAATCCATATACTTTTATTAAAACTAACATATATACTTTTTAATTACGAATTCTAGTAAAAATTGTATTTGTCAATATACGCAGAAATAGTCCATTAGTACTAAAACGAATTGGCGCTGCTGTCGCGCACGGAGCGAATACAGCGTTTATTGTTTTAAGGAATTGCGGTTTTAACCACATTACCAACTTTTACTTAAGTTATTTTTTACATCAAGTAGGTTGCTCTGACGACATTGATACGCCTCCGCACGGTTGGAATAGAACCTGGTGTAGGATCTGGTGAGGCAAGAAGTCATTTTTGGCAGGAGGCGCTCGATACGCTCCCGCTGCTTCAAGCGAAGATAGACTTCATCTCACGGAAAATATCTTCCATAAGCCATATAAAGTTATAACTGAACAAATGGCAGATACGATTCATATCTTCTCTGACGGTTCTAAAACAAAAAAGGCTCAGGATGTGGAATATACTGCAGATCCTTAAACCTAAACATAAAACTGGGCTGTGAGCAATAGTGCCAGTGATAGTGCCAGCAATAGTGCCAGCAGTAGTGCCAGTTCAAACACAGCTCACGGGGATTATCAAATCAGCAAAATAAATCATCAGAAACAATGTCACTGGAAAAAACATGCTCATTTACATGTACAGATAATAGACAAGCACTACTTACCCTGAACATACCACGAATTTACTCAGGATTAGTACTAGAATGTCGCGAAGCTTTGGACGAAGTATCCGTCAACAACGTGGTCAACTTAAGATGGATCAAAGGTCACGCCACATCGAAAAGTAACCGTCTTGCTGATTCACTGGCCAAGAAAGCAGCCAACCAAATACTTTTTGGATCTGGCCCTTCTATTGGTCTGACAAAATCGGTAGTGACAGACCTAATTAAAGAAAATTCCCTTGTAAAATTTAAGGAAAGATGGGATAAAACAGGAATCTGCTGATTTGACAGGAAGTTTTTAAGTTATCCAGCAAACAAATACTTGACTATGACTAGACAGAATATGCGCAGGCATTCTGATTGGTCATTGCCAAGTACGAAAGCATCTCCATATCATGGGACTGTCAGAATCCGCACTCTGTAGGGGGGGCGAACAAGAAGATAAGACCATTGAGCATATCCTCTACGATTGCTCGATGCTCTCATTTATTAGAAGATTTGTATTCGGCGAGTATCGGCTAATACCGGCCGATATAAGAGAAGCACATCTTAGCCACGTTGTCAACTACATTAAATCTGTAGGCTGGTTCACTTGCTAGGAAGTGCCTATCATCTTAGGAGGATGCAAAATGGGCCTATTGAGGCCTAAGTGCTATGGTGTAACCCACCCTCCACACTTTAGAGATACAGATACCTAAGGTATTGATCACTATATTACTCATTTACCAATTTATTAACATTTCATTGAGTACATTCAATTGTGCACTTCTTGATACCTGCTATTAGATTACTTAATTTGGATTTAATATCTTACTTTTGTAACCAATATTAATTTATTTTAAATAACTTGTTCACCACTTTTCATTGACATTGTCATTTACTATTATTATAACACTATCTGTTATTACTTGTTAATTCTCTGTTTTAACTTATCATTGTATATTTTATTTCATTATTCAAGTTGTACTGTTACTATCTGTTATATTTTTCTTACAGTCCTGATGATGGCTATTGACCGAAACTAGTCAACTTTCGTTAATATAAAATTTGTGGTTAAGAATCCTGATTAATCTTGTATGATTAGGTGCATTCGGACATATTAACAATAAAATAAATAAAAATAATTCTTATTATTGGACATTACATCATGTATTCAACCGCGGTTACCCATAGAAGTACTAACCATAGTCGGAATTACTTAATTGCAGATATCGCAATAACAATATGAACACAATAAACCAAGTTGGCACTTTGAAACAACAATTTGAACATAATAAACCAATTCGCTGCTCTCCTGAATATTATTGGTTATATAAAATGTTTGTATTTGGAATTTTATTACATTTTAGCCAAATTTGTCATATATTTTTTTGCAATTAACCTTAAATATAATACGAATATGCAGGTAGACAACCGTTAACAATGGGTGACCGGTCACACTACTCAGCTCTAAACAAAACACCATCGACAATAGATATCCGTTTTAAAAAATTATATGCATAACCCGTTCAGTCATCCAAATTCCCCCAAACGGTCTCAAAGTATTTTATCACGTTAAAAATATAACCTCAAAACATACGTTTTTACCTAAACCCAAAAACTCTTAATATACCTTTCTTTAGTGACAATTTTGTGAAGTGAAAAAACCAAAATGTAGTTTTAACGAAACAAATATAAAATGTCCTTTCTTTCAAACATTTTTCGGTGTTTGTGTTTATGTTTAGTGATTCAACGTGGTTCCTGGTATCCGAACCCTCAAAATATTTCTTCACAAAATCAACGAAAACCTATAAAAGACAAAATTCAAACTTGCGCGCCCAAAAAGAGACAAGCGACTTTAAGAAAACCTGAATGGCTTAAAGAATGGACAATAAGTAAAGGATGGGTTCACAATAAAAGTCATCTCTTAGAACTTGGCAGAAAAAAACTAACAGATATGGATAAGAAAAACTACGAAGAACTTTCTGAAAATAGTTCTGTATCTATGGATAATATCGAGGATCTTATTTCAATAAAAAGTATTGAAAATGATGAAGATAATAGAAAAATGATTGATATCGAAGATGATTCTTCAATACCGGAAGAAGAAGAAGAAGAAGAAGATGATGAAAATATTAAAATATCTTCCGTACAAAGAGTGTCGCAAGTTTATCAAGAAGTTAATAAAAATTATAGAAATAATTTTCCGATTTGTTCACATGGTCTTAAAGAAAGTCAAGAAAACAGTCTTCCTCAAATTTATAAAGAAAGGTTATTGATGGACAAAAGAGATAGCAATTTACTCTCAGGTATCTTTAGATATGTGAAACCTGCACAAAAGAAGAAACTAGATTTAAATAATTGTAAATTCACTGTTAATAGATTGTACGAAGATAGAATATTTTCAGGAGATTCAACTGAAAGGAAATTAGAATCTCAAAAATTTGGAAAAAGAAATAATTTGGGAAAGAATATAGCTTTATTTAATACACTTAATGCAAAAACAAATCTTCATGAAGATATCATATATGAATGCTCCGATGAAAACAGCAATTACAATTCATTAAATAATATTTATTTTAATCCAATATATTCGCCATTACCTTTACAAAAATTTGAAAATTTTAACTCAAATCAAACTAATCAAATAGAACTTTTAGATAGAAGAGCAATAGCCATTCACAACTATCAAGAAAACCTAAAACTATTGACTAAACGTGAAAAGTATGTTATAAGACACATCAAAATTAGATTTATGTTATCGTTAAGAATTGGCAGGTTTAAAAAAACGAACAAAAAACCCGGGATTAAAAAACAAAGTTGTTTTCGGTCAAGAAAAAGTGCAAAGTTAGTTGATAAAAGTGATTATATTAAAATGAGAGTTGCCAAAATTCATGATGAACAGAGGAGAATTGGAAATGGAAGAACATCTGTTAAAATTCAGAACATGAGGTAGGATCACAAATAAAATCAATTTAAATATAACCAATTATTTTAATATTACAATTTTAATATTTAATATTTATTCTAAGTTTATGAGTCAATGTTTTAATTCTTTTTTTAAAAAATAATTAAACTAAAATGATGTTATCTATTAAATAACAATTTCAAATATGGAAAAAAGATATTACGGTTTCTTTTTAAATTAAATATTGGTAAATCTTATTAATTTTATGCATTCATTTGTCATTATAATCCAATTTTAAAAGCAGATTTATATAAAAACAAAGCATAAAATTTTATTTTATTTGAATAACATTATTTGGTGATACACTTTCATAATATTTAATTTACAAATTATTAAATAATTGCTATTCCAATTATTGACACTATAGACTTTTTGCTACCAAAAGTTTTATGTTAATTTAAATGCAAAAAGTAAACAATTTGATAGACGCTCTAGATTGAATTGAAGAACAAAAAACAGTACATTATTGTTTAACAACCAACCAACACAACTATTTACATAATTTTGGCAATATTATATAAAGAAAAATAATACTATAAAGTATAAAATTAAAAAATTGATTGATTCTGATTAAAAAAGAAGTAACTTTATTATCACTTAACAACAAATTGGCAAATCCAATTCAATCCATCGATTAGCAACTTTACTTTGAATTTTACAGGTCGCATGACCGCTCCCACTACCGGGATATAGTATATTTTGTTTACCCCTCAAGTTTGGAATATAACAAAAATAATACCATCTCAAAAATCATGGCACATCAATGAATTGTCACTGTGACCAATCAATGAAAGAATGATTTCTGATTTTTAAGAATTTTTAAAGGATTTTTCTAATAATTTTTAAATAATTATTTTAACGATTTTTTAAAGACTTAAGATTTTATTTTTTATTTTTTAAGGATTAATTATGGTCGTGTCTCATTTTTTAAAGAATATTTAAAAGGGGGTTTTTAATGATTTTTTAAATATTCTTGTTTTGTATTACAAAGTATTTTTTTAGGATTTTTAAAGAAATTTTAGGGGGTTTTTATTTCTAATAATTTTTGTAAAGGATTTTTAAAGAAATTTTTGAGTACTTTTTTTTAATATTTTTGAGATATTCTTTTTTTTTAAAGCTTTTATAAATATGTTAAGGATATTTTACGGATATTTTAAGGATATTTTAAAGATATTTTAAAGATATTTTAAAGATATTTTAAGGATATTTTAAGGATATCTTAAGGATATTTTAAGGATATTTTAGAGATAATTTAAGGATATTTTATAGGATATTTTAAAAATATTTTAAGGATATTTTAAGGATATTTTAAGGATATTTTAAGGATATTTTAAGGATATTTTAAGGATATTTTAAGGATATTTTAAGGATATTTTAAGGATATTTTAAGGATATTTTAAGAATATTTTAAGGATATTTTAAGGATATTTTAAGGATATTTTAAGGATATTTTAAGGATATTTTAAGGATATTTTAAGGATATTTTAAGGATATTTTAAGGATATTTTAAGGATATTTTAAGGATATTTTAAGGATATTTTAAGGATATTTTAAGGATATTTTAAGGATATTTTAAGGATATTTTAAGGATATTTTAAGGATATTTTAAGGATATTTTAAGGATATTTTAAGGATATTTTAAGGATATTTTAAGGATATTTTAAGGATATTTTAAAGATATTTTAAGGATATTTTAAGGATATTTTAAGGATATTTTAAGGATATTTTAAGGATATTTTAAGGATATTTTAAGGATAGTTTAAGGATAATTTAAGGATATTTTAAGGATATTTTAAGGATATTTTAAGGATATTTTAAGGATATTTTAAGGATATTTTAAGGATATTTTAAGGATATTTTAAGGATATTTTAAGGATATTTTAATGATATTTTAATGATATTTTAAGGATATTTTAAAGATATTTTAAGGATATTTGAAGGATATTTTAAGGATAATTTAAGGATATTTTAAGGATATTTTAAGGATATTTTAAGGATATTTTAAGGATATTTTAAGGATATTTTAAGGATATTTTAAGGATATTTTAAGGATATTTTAAGGATATTTTAAGGATATTTTAAGGATATTTTAAGGATATTTTAAGGATATTTTAAGGATATTTAAAGGATATTTTAAGGATATTTTAAGGATATTTTAAGGATATTTTAAGGATATTTTAAGGATATTTTAAGGATATTTTAAGGATATTTTAAGGATATTTTAAGGATATTTTAAGGATATTTTAAGGATATTTTAAGGATATTTTAAGGATATTTTAAGGATATTTTAAGGATATTTTAAGGATATTTTAAGGATATTTTAAGGATATTTTAAGGATATTTTAAGGATATTTTAAGGATATTTTAAGGATATTTTAAGGATATTTTAAGGATATTTTAAGGATATTTTAAGGATATTTTAAGGATATTTTAAGGATATTTTAAGGATATTTTAAGGATATTTTAAGGATTTTTTTAAGGATATTTTAAGGATATTTTAAGGATATTTTAAGGAATTTTTTAAGGATATTTTAAGGATATTTTAATAGTGCCTGAATTATTTCCGGAAATTTTTTCAAACTCACGAATATTTTGAAAATGAATTCGACTCGAAGACAAGGGATAATTTTCTTAAAATATTCGTGAGTAAGCAAAAATTCCAAAAAATAATTTAGGAACATGTGGTATTCGGTAAGAAAAGTTTACACCAAAATATCAAAATTTCAAAACTTGACAGACTTGCATTAAAACGGTGAAAATCAAATTTGCAAAGTTGGCCATGCCAACTATACATATTTATCTAATTTAAAGTCTTTTATTTGACGGGAAACACCTAATTATTATTTTAAATAAATATAGTTATAATTGGTAATAAATAAAATATTAACAACTGAAATGGCATATTTTAAATCACACCATCGCGTCAAGTTGTACTATCATGTGGATGAAAATTTTTTTGGTTGTCACAGAAATATTTTAAAATAACAGCTTTTTATAAAATAGAGGTGTAAAATCTTAGAACCTATTTTAGATCTATGATGCGTTAAAACGAACATTTAAAATATACCCAAGTCTACAGAAGCTGAGATATTAATACAAAAAAACGACATTTTTCTATGCAATTCTCTCTTTTATATTTTTATTATAAATACCAAACCAGAAACTAAAACCACTAGCAGATAACGGCTGTTGAAAAAATATTAACCCAAGTAGAGTTTCTTCTGCCACTGCTGAAAATTGTTACATATTTTATATAAGTACCAGTTAGTTTAATGATACACTTCCAATTTTATAGTATAAATAAACACATTCCGTTACTGGTACATCTAACGATTACGATCGGTTGCAGAAGAATAGAATTTCTATAAAACGGTTAACTATATCAATGATTATTTAACAGATAATGATGCAGATGTTAAAGAAGGTTAGTAGCAAGCAAGATTTCAAATTGATATTATTAAGTAATTCTTGTCAAAGAAAAAAGACAGTGAAGACAGGTTCATGAGGTAATTTTAAATTCAACCATGAAAGCATAAGAGCAGGTCCATTGAGATGGCCAAAGGGTTATTCGATTTAACTGTACCGGCTTTTTTCTTAAGGGGATGCTACAACACACCTCCTACAACCTTGCAGGAATTACAGACAAATTAATGAGATGTTATGAAAATTAATTAAAAGATGACATTTTTATGTAAACGTCATTTTGAACAGTTACTGTTTTTCACTTTTATTTATCGGCTTCATTTTATGAGTTCTATGAAAAGCGACACAATCTGTATACGTAATTTTGGAAGATTTGAGGGGTCTTGTCATAAGATAAAACTCTAAAGGCAATTCTCTCACTAGAAACCAAATAACGACTGGTGACAGAATGCTTATAGACCTTTCAGAACTAAGCAATCACAAGAAAAGGAAATATCAATTAATGTCCTGTGCCAGAGTGAAGGCCCTATCTAGATTGAGGTTTCTAACACTAGGCGAAGAAAAGCCAGAAGAAAATCCAGATGCGGTAGCCACTATCAAAGCTAGTAAAAAAAAAGAAATCAGTCTAGACGACATTCTCTAAAAGGTCGCAGTTGTCAAGGGAAAATGTCCAACTTCTCTGTAACCTAATTTAAGCTAATCTAATGCAGAGTGTTGCTTTTAAAATACTGAAATTGACGTAAAGTCACACTATTAAGAGTAAAACTTTTCAAAATTTAAGTAAAATTGCCTACTATTTTCTTTAGCAGTACTTATTTTAAGCTATTTATGACAAATTGGTAAATTGTACAGAAGTAATTTGCTATTTAATAACTTTTTCAATATTCTGTATGATGCTAGATAATTTGCTTATTCTCTCTAGCTTATTTTTATGACTCGATATTGCTGTTTTCCCGATAGTTGGCACTATCTTTTTTGTTGTTTATATTAAGAACTTCCTCTGTTTTTCAGAAGGTCATTCTCTCTAATGAGTTATATTATATTGTTATACTGCGACCTAACAGATCTATGGATATGAGGAGCTTAAGTAATAATATTAGGTTATCTTTGAGTTTGTTTATTTTGTATGGCAAATTTAATATTGATCTCTTCTCTCGCTAAGGCGGCAAAGGAATGATTTCGATGCCTATAACGACTTTTATCTTCCAAAAACAGTCTACAATTTTAGAGAAACCGACCAACAACTGTACGAATAATTATTATACAATGAATCAAAATGACGTGAGACACTACTTAGATTAGAAATATCATGGTAGATGGATTGGACGACGATGTCCGATGGAATGGCCAGCACGGTCACCGGAACTCATTTTTTAATATTTTTATTGTGGGTGCATTTTAAATCTAAAGTTTTCTCTACAGTTACTGTCTTTTCAAGACAAGGCTAATTTCCGCTCACATTTGAAAGAGTACGACAAAGGTTTAGCAATAAGAACTGGTTTTTGAATCTTTATTAATTACGAAATAATAATACTAATAAAGGAAATAAATTCAAATTCTTAAAT